GGGATCGTCGGTTCGAATCCTACTGAAAGAAGTCTGATGAGGAAATGTGGTGATTTCCGAAATAGCTATCACTTCTACCATTTTTTCAAATTATTGTTGCTTTTCCCCAATAAATTTTCATTTTAAAAACGGCCTCGAGCTCAATATAAATTGTTGAATATAATTGTTATAAAGGCCAAAAAAATAACAAAAACAAATAACTTAAGGACGAGCACACCTAAAAGTTAAACATTCTAAAAATAGAATTATTAGCAAAAACCAACAATACCAACAACCACATGATCAAGTGAATTGCAGCGGAATAGCTGCGCTTGATTGTGTTGGCATAACAAAAATGAAAATAGTGGAAAAAAGCAAACGATAATTTACAAGGCGTACTTAGCACGGTGCATAGGCAACTGGCTGAGTCAGTGGGATCGTCGGTTCGAATCCTACTGAAAGAAGTCTGATGAGGAAATGTGGTGATTTCCGAAATAGCTATCACTTCTACCATTTTTTCAAATTATTGTTGCTTTTCCACAATAAATTTTCATTTAAAAAACGGCCTCGAGCTCAATATAAATTGTTGAATATTCTTTTCTTATAGTAAAAAAGTGATAGATAATAGATCGTTCATTTAAAATTTCAGTCATTATCGGAAATTCATTCAATGTTGAATTTATTATTTTTTAGGGTATTAAACAATTTAAAAATTAAGAGAAACTGAACCTATTTCTCTCAGTCTGTTAATTGACATCAAAAGAAATCAGTAAATATGTGTGCATCTGTTCTGTAAATATTACCTAAATAATTCCATCTAAGATCAAAAATTTCCCTAAAACTACCAATTTTATTTAGCAACTGTTCTGTTTTTACCACCAAACAATGTTCACCACAACAGTTTCTTTTCGTTTCATTTTCGACACATGTATGTATGTATGTCCATATAGTATATTTTTTCGGATTTTCCTTTGTTTAAATATTTGTTTTTTAATAGTCTTATAACAAATTTTTGGTGTAAATATTTGTGTTTGTGTGGAATTAATTCAATTCGCCTTTCTCGTACAGCCAATTATTTTACCATTTCATTTCCCATTTTCTTATATATTTTTTTGTTTCTTGTACAGTTCGGTTTTTTAAAAGCCAAGCTAACACGAGTGTTTGACGCGGCACAAAGTATCCCCCTGCTATTATGTTTGCTTGCACCGTATTAATCTGTATTTGTTAGCCAAATGTATGCGTTCAATAACAATAATCTGGAGGCCACACCAATTTAGATTGGTGAGATGGATAAAGTCGCCTTTACCGGATCAGGCATATATTCCTTCATCAGGTCGCGTAATCGTAAAATTTCCTTCCCGGCGGCGGCCAAATCACCCTGGAGTGAAAGTTCACGCTCGCGCAGACGTTTTATGTCACGCTGACACGTCTAAACCGAAGATAGAAAGAAAAGTTACTGAGACATTTAGTATGTGTTAAATATTTTCAAACTTTATTCCGAGTTTTAACGTACCACATTCTGCCTGAGCAAGTCTAGTTTGTCGCATTTGAGTCTTGTAACTTCTTGCCGCAAATTCTCAATCATGACAATGGTTTCGTTCCTTGGCGGAGAGCCCATAACAACTTGGGAGCCATCTAGATACAGCGAACATGCTGCCTTATTCGACGACATCGCTTCCGCTGAGGACATTGATTCCAGTCCTGTGTCGCTATCGATGTAAACTGCGCCGCCTTCTATTTGGCCTATCATAGGGTCTAGATCCACGCTATTCAAGCTGGAGTCATCGCTGGTCTCCGACATTGTTACAGTCCCCGCAACCGCATTGACTGGTACAGCAGAGTGGTTTTCGTTCTGTGCATCGTTAGCTAAAACATATCCAACCGGATTTGAATTATTGATATTATTTGCATTGTTGCTGTTCAGGGGCCCCCGGAAAGTTATATCAGGTGAAGAAGAGGTGGAATTGTTCGACGATTTTGATTTCGAGGTAGATTTTGAAGCAGTGAGACTGCATATCTGTAATGAGATAAAACACAAAGACAAGTTAGTAGTGTGTATACTAAATATGTATAGTTGCAAAATCATTGCTGCTATTAACAATACCTACATTCAAATTTTGTGTCTCCGTTAAGCTGTTATCCTTTTTCGAATTCGTCGATAAAGCGGACGAGTTCATCTTCGTCGAGACACTAAATAGTGCCATGTTGCCCGTATCAACACTCTGTGAACGCACACGCGAGATGAGCGCCTTCTTTACAGTGTCAAATAACCTTGATCCTGCTGTACTATTCTCTGACTTTGGTGTTTCCGGTGTTGGACTGATAGTCACTCCGTTCGTGAAATCCGTCCCTAGAAAGTCACGAGTTTTCTCTTTCAATTCCTCAACCAGGTTTTGCAAGAGCGAAGTGCGTGTGCGCAGCTCCAATTTCGCAAATTTCTCTGCCTTATAACAGGCGTTCTCCGCGTTGATAAGCTTAGTCAAAATGAACTCTTTAAAATCCTGGCCTTTACGAAAAATTGCTGGATTAGGAAGAGTTGGCCCAAATAACGGTACATCGCAGCGAGCTGTAACGCTGACCTTGTACCGCGTATTCGGTGTGTTTGGTTCGAGCGGTTGTACTACGATAAAAGCATGCAGGAAATGACTTGCTATCATATCGGGAGAAAATGGCGTATTCGACTCCTGGAATACGATCGCGACGATATCATTGCCAATGTGTCGTTTGCGTTGCAGCTGCTGAGGGTCCCCTTCGGTGTAAGGCAGCATTGTCGATACGTGAAACATGATCTCTCGTTCCTTAAAAACCTCGTAGATACCTGTATCGCCTGTATGTCCATTCTGTATATCCAGACCACCGCGATATCCTTTGTGGTCTTTCAATTTAATACGCTGGCCCAAGATATCTAGGAACTCCTCAAAAGCTGGTGATGAGTTGTTGTTGCTAAATAGTTCCTCTTCTGTGGTTTGTCCATATCTTTGGTAGAGCACTCCGAATTTAAAATTCGTTACGAGCACATGTTCATCATAGGCGCTAATCAAATGAGATGCCTTTGAACACAATATCGGCACATAATTTTCCACTGTGATTTGGTCGTTCAGAAATCGCACTATCTTTGCTGTTGTCGGATTTGGTCCCAAACATGACATTGGTATGAGTTCATGCATTGTACTAGTGCGCAAGCGTATGAGGATGCGTGCATGCTCTTGGTTTGCTACATTTTCGGTCTTTACGGATATCAAAATTGGCCCAAGCTGCTCGTCGTGACCCACAAGGTTTGCATGTTCGCGCGCCGCATAAAATCGTCGATAACACTTCGCCGTGTCGTCTGTCTCGAATTTTGCCATCCAGGTGGTTTCTGGCAACATTGGGTTTCCACGAGCATCAAATGAGCACTCATGATCCGTACCGTCTACCCAATAGCCACCGTTTAGTGGCAAAATAATCATAGGATAAGGGGCTGTCTTCGCAAGCGCTTCCTCCAGCAAGCATTGTGAGGAAGGTATCGACGACTGGGACGTCTGTGATAAGACCGATGATTGCGACTGATAATGCTGGCCATTTAACAGCAATTTATTTGCAACTCTCACTAAGTTTCCTGTACCTGTCGAGCCAATACAACTTATTTGTGGAGAAGCAGGTGTGGAATTCGAGGATGCAGTAGATATTGAATGTCGCAATGTAGAACGCGAAGCCGAGTGTTGCAAACCATTATGGTGGAAGAAATTTCCGGACTGGGGAGCGCTTTCGTGCGGTTGTGACATGCGTTTTTCATTCGAGTTCCGATGGTGAGTCTGGAAAAATGGCATTTACAATTTTATTAGAATCTATATCTATATATATAATACGCGAAGGCATTTATTGTGCAGCATAAAAGATCTGCATCGTTCGTTCGATTCTCAAAATGGGGTGTCAAATTAAAGCGCTTGGCCTGTAGATGTGTAATAAAGTTTTATTTTTTCGAAAAGGGTTGCCACCTGTTAAATAATTAAACTCAAGTTATTTACTAATCAAAGCCCTCAGATCCGCACCGTCCATTCGATTTTCAAAAGTGGGGTACCAAATTAAAGGGCTTAGGGTGTGGATGTTCAAGAAGGTTTTACTTTTTCGAAAAAAGTTGTCACCTGTTAAGAAATAAAACTCAAATTAATTAAAAAGTTAAATCAATATTAACTTAACTACATATAGGAGGGTTGCCCCATGTTAAAAAAATGTAATTCAATTTTAATTAAAGGAATTTAGTAAGTGAATAAAGTATCGCTATATGGATATCATACAAAAGAGGTTTAAGAAGGTAGTAGTTTGAAAATATTTCGAATAGGTTTGCCACCTATTTGAGAAGTCTAATTGAACTATTTTATACCCAAGTTATATGAAATATTAACGATGGATATCAAATGAAAGAGCTTCAAGAAATACTTAGTGTGACAATTTAGAACATTTTTGATGTGTTTGAGGGTTGCCCAGTTTAAAGGGCTAAACTATAATTATTTAATAAGTTAAAGGAATTACTTACCGATGGTTATCAATGAAAATGGGTTTAAATCCTTTATTTAAGAACAATGTTTAGGAGGGTTGCCAGGTGTTTAAAAAATGAATTTCCACTTAATTCATCAGTTACTTGAAATATTTATAACAATGTCAGACGAAAAATATTTAAGGAAATTGTAGTTCGAAAATAATTTGTAAGAGGGTTGCCGCCTGTTTTGAAAGTGGTATTTCGTTTAATTGTACATAAGTTACGTGAAATTTTAAAATATTGTTAAGAAATCTTTCATTTGAAATTTTGTTTTTCTTTGTTGAAAAAATTAAGCTCAAATTATTTAATAAGTTAAATGGATTGTCAAAAGATGGGTATCAATCGAAATGGGCTTGAAAATAGTTTATTTCTAAACTGTATTTACGAGAGTTGCCATGTGCTTAAAAAATTAAATTCAACTTGATTCATCGGTTAATTGAAATATGTATAACAATGCCAGGTGAAAGATTTTAGTTTGAAAATACCTTTAAAGAGGTTGCCACCTGTTTGAAAAGTCGAATTTGTTTAACTTATACGAAAGATACATAAATAAATTATCGAAATATTAGCGTAAAACGAAAGAGTTTTAAGAAAGTTATAGGCTGATATTATTTTTAATTAGAGTTGCTATCTATTTTTTTTTGCAGGTCGTCACATCTGCACCGTTATTTCGAATTTCCAAAATGAGAAGTCAAATTAAAGAACTGGGACTCTACATAGATGTGCACAGGTTTTATATTTTGAAGTTACAGGGAGATTTGAAATTTGATGAAATGAAAACCGACACCATGCGAGGCCTCTCTTCACTGAGAAATGGTTTAGATTAATCATTAGGAATATTTTTAGAGGTTTTTGAATAGGGTTTCACCTGTTTAAAAAATTTAATTAAATGCTGGCGTTTTGGCGCCATGCGGGTTCACTAGTAGTTTTATATTTTATTAAATACTAGCAAACGCCCGGCTTGCTTCGCGACGGCTGATAAGAGCTTTTGCCTCGACCAATACACAAATAGTGTTAAAAAGCAAAAAAGGGTTGTAAAGTTAAAGTTATTAGTTTAGGTCACTTTTTCTTGATATACCGATGACCCGTTAATGTGCCTAGGATGTATTTGGCGCTTAAACAATTTTGCGCTTCTTTGTGTGCATACTTAAAGGATGGGGCTTTTTTAAGTCATCTAAAAAGTTAGAGGGGCATTTAAATGTTTTGATTCCAGCGCTATCTATGTTTGGGGCAATTTTTGTTTTTTTTTGAGAAACATTTCTTATCATAAAGGTATTACCCGTTAATCCCTCGACTCCAGTGTCATCTGCCATTTTTCTTGTTTAATTTAAGGCCCCTTATGAGCAATGCTTTTAAATTTCTTGTTGCGATGAAGAAGCATAAATAATATTCGGACATCCGCTAGTGAGTATTCGACATACATAATTCTTGTATCTGTTTTTGGACAAAAAACTGTATATTTTTGCGAAAAAATCCGGTTTCGCAGTTTTTCCATTTAAAGTAAAAACATTTTTTACAGTACTTTCACGCCCCGAGACAAAATGATATGTCTAACAAAGGCCATAGAAATCGAAGAATAATAGTTTACTAATATGGGTATAGAACAAAGGCTCTTTAGAAGAAAGTATGCGTAATAAAGTTTCAAAACACGAATTTTTAAAATCATATATTAATTTTTTCGCTTTATTTATAAAACATTTTGATAATTTTAAACACATTAAATTTTTCTTTTTACTTATAAATCAATGAAACAAAGAATTTTCAAATTTTTCGTGGTTTTTTGAAAGATTCTTCTAGAACTTCGTCATCTGAAAAATTTATATCTTTGTGAATATTCATGGATGCTAGACCGTTGAGCCTTTCTTGACATGTTGTATTTCTCAAGTAGGTTTTAATTCTTTTCAGGCATGAAGAGCTTCGTTCAGGTGTGGCTATTGAAACGGGCAAAAGTGCCAATATACGTAAGATCTTAAAAACATTCCCAAAAGACGTTGTAGGAGCCATGATTCAATAATACAAGGTTCGATAAACTGACAGTTGTCTCTCTCGCACCGCTCCCTTAGCAGTGGCACCGTGTTGCTTCTTTGCAAATTTACTTGGAAACAGTGTAGCTTTGGTGTGAAATAAAAGTATAAGCTTTTGTGCAATATGTTTATTTGTTGATGCATATGAAGCATATTTAACTGATGAAAACATAAGCATTGGATGTTTACATCAATTTCATAGTAGTCTTATTTTAATTTTGAGTCATTTTGCATTTTTTATACAGCTAAATAGCATATAAATTACGTAATTCACGTAGGTAAATCAATATTACGTTCAATATTTCGTTTAAAATGCCAGATTTCCTGCAAATACATTAGAATTTACAAAAGGAATTTCACTACTAATTGCCTACTTTGCGTACTTTTCTACTACCATTTTCGCAACAAGGGATTGCGTTCTTGCCCTTTCTCTGTCTTTCGCAAATGCAACCTTTTGTAAGGGAGTGTCAAACCGCAGCTGTCAATAATTATCTAACCTTGTATTATTGAATCATGTGTAGTAGCCACTTGTAATGCTTCGAGAGCATTTCGAAAATGTTCGTGTGAAACTCGTTTTTTCCACATTTTTACCTCCAGAAGAAAGTTTTTTTTCGAGCAGTCGATTACTTTTTCATAGAAAGCAAACAATTCCTCAGTTTTTTTTTCGTTAAAATCGTACTTTGGAAACAAAACACTAAAATTATTTAAAACTGATTTATGGTTTAGGAACCGACTTTTCAAATAAGCAATATATGTATCAAGGAAGGGAATGTAAAAAGCAATGCGATAGTATGCCTCGGCGTCTCCGGTTTTCACATTAAAGCGATTCGGTGACAAATAAAAAGTTTTTGACAATTGGAAGAAATACAACTTCGAAAGTCTTTTTAAAACGACTTTTCATTTTGCTACGTTAGAGCCGTTGCCGAGAAACTTATGGATACATATACATATACACAAAAATTGCTCGTTTAAGGTAATTAGAATAAGGGGCACAATTTTCCGCAAACAAAAACAAAAGTTGTGGAACAAATATTGATAACGAAGCGATTTCTGCCTAAATCCGCAATAAAACCTGCGTTTTGCGAATTTTAGCCCTGCAATTGCCACGCCCATTTCTAGGGGTTTGTCGCCTTAAAGAAAAATCTTGCCATACAAATATTATATCTGGATAGGTATTTTATAGGAATCCGCAATAAAATTTTACTTTTTGCAAAAACCCGATGTTTAACACCTTACCAAATATATCTTAACACTAGCAGAACCAGCGAACTTCGTCCCGCCTAAAATAAATTTTTTTTATTGAAACATTTTGGTCCAACATTTTCACCAACATGATTTTTACTGACGCATTTATCTTATAATATTACGGTCGGGGCTCTACCCATGTACTGCTCGGTTTTCACAGCCGAATCAGCTGTATTACTAGAAGCTGTATATTTTGCCTCTAAACACGAAAGGAAATTCGTCATATGTACTGACAGTAAATCAACCATCGAAGCCCTTTTCAGCAGCTCCAACGATTCTCATATAATTTCTAAAATCCGTGAAGTTATTTTCCGACATAAAAAATCAATCAAAATCATGTGGCTACCAGGACATGTCGGAAAGGAAGGCAATGAGTATGCTGATAAAATAGCCAAGGCTGGCAATGATGAACCATTACACCTGTTTAATTATGTGTCCCCGAAGAACATCAAAAAACTTATACAAGAATTCACGACTTGTAATTTTTCTTCAACATGGCTCAGCTACCAACACCAGTACAGAAATTATAACTTTTATGGAAGTAAGCCTCAGTATTCGCCACACATAGCGTGCCATAAAATCAAAACCTTTGTTCGTCTGAGAATCGGCCACACCATATCCACTCATTCCCGTCTGCTAAGAGGTACTAATAAACCAGCATGCCCGTTTTGCGACTCAACAAAATCAACAATATATCACTTATTGGAAGAATGCGTGGGACTAATTCACATCAGAGCTTCCATATTCGGCAACAATAAACCATCGCATTACCTTCGAAAGACAGACGAAACTTACATAGACCTTATGTGGAAGTTTTTTTCAGCCAGTAAATTAACAATTTAGTCTAGAACTGTCTCCTCTTGCCTTTAAATGTAAATATCCCATAAAACATAAAAATAAGCATTTGAACCTTTTTAAATGTTAGTATTATTAGTTCACCATTTATCCAGTATAAGCTAAGCCGTAGGCCTTTTTTGGCAGTGCTTTAATGTATAAGTAGAATAAT